GGTGGGGGTGTGGGGGGGAGTTTTATGGGTACAGTAGTTTATTTTTCCTGTAATACTTCATCATATTTAAGACAAAGCTAATTGAAAGGGGCGCTGAAGAGTTAAAACCAGGGATTACAAATAATTACTTTTTTTTCTTCAGCAGTTTGGCTCCCCCTCCAGCAGATGGCACTCTAGGCGACCACCTAGTTCGCCTATGCCAAAAGCCAGCTCTGCTTCTTGGCGAAATTGGGCTGTGAGCAAACAGCATGTACAGTCATATTGTAGCAGTTCTGGTAGATTGCGAGAACATGAGAAAAGGATAGCTTTTGATTACGAATTCTAAATATAGCTCAAAATTTACAATGCTGGCTGAAGGTTTTATGATGACCCTCACAGCCCATCAACTTCAAAAAGCACTGAAAATCTGTCAGCAGGGGTTCTGCAAAACATGCATGCAAGAAACCCAAATAAATAAAAAAAATGTAGAGGACAGACATCAGAACCTTTGGAAATCAGGCTGTCGGTTATTTGCTACACAATGAAAAAAACTAATTTAGAGCAGGAATGACACTGCTTACATTTTACACTTCAATAAATCCACAGCATCGATGGAAAGAAATCTGTGCACGTAAATTCAGATTGTAATGGAACTAATACTTTTATATTTAAGCAAGTAATTCATGTCATCCTTTAATGTCCTAGGTTTTCATGATATGCTGTTCATCTGCAGATAGAAAGATTAAAGTCAGAACAAGATTTGCTAACAACAGTCATTCTTAGATATCACTTGTGTTTATCTTTGTGTTTTCCATTGACCTTGTATCAAATCTTGCTAAGATGACATAATGGTGTTTGTTAATATACATATGAGGCCTCTCGAGTGGAGTGAACAATGTTCAACAGTGGACACAGTAGTGTGGAGAGACCGTGACAGAGAGAAGCAGAGGCACAGAGACAGGCCAGGTTGTTCTCTGTGTTTCCTGTTGTTGCAATAAAACTCAGCTGATTATCTCACGGAGTACCTTCATTCCTGGACCCCGTATTTCTGTCTTTGTTAAATAAATATTGCCATAACAGTTTGGCGTTGTCCACTAGGAGATCAACGGACCAAGGCCACATTGCAGGTGGACTGATGTGAGAGAGCAGGACTGCTCAGGACCGTGTCTCCAGCTGGATGAAAAGAACCTTTTTATGGTAAATTGTTTTAACAACAGAGATACTGTATGCTGTTGATGATTGTGATGGATGATCTTTAATAAAAAAAAGAACATTGAATTTTTATTTTTGGCTGGTGAAGAACCTGAGAAGGTTTTTTAAACATCATCTGCTGAGAGTCAATAAAAGCTTCAAGATGCCTCCTTACTTTTCCAAAGAGGATTTCTGCCAGCTTCTCCAAAAGGTGACGGTGTTGGAGCTCAAGATTCATCATCTGGAAGAAGAGATGAATGCTTTGGAGAACTCAACATGTGTTAAAATGGGTGAGAAGGCTGAGAGGAGAGATCAACATGGAGAGGAGATGGAAGCTGCTTCTGAGTGTAAAACTGTATGGAACTCTCTTTGTGCCAGACCAAAAAAAAATCTCTCAGGAAGAATTCAGCTCTTAGGTGACAACGAATGGCCAGAATTACAGAGAAATGTTTTTTCTCCTCCAGCAAGGAGAAGAAAGCAACAGGCTGTAATCAAAACAGCTGATAACAGCCAGAGAAATGAAGCAGTGTTTCTTCAAAACAGATTCACACCACTGGAAGAAACTGGTGAGTCTGAACAAAGTTCATCTGCTGATCTCAGAGAGGGACCTGAGACCAGATCCAGCTCAAAGCCAAAGCAAGTCCAAAGAGAGACTTTCAAAAATCAAGAAATGCTGATCATCACAGATAAAATGGTGAATGAGATCAGAGGCTTCTGGAACAAGAAAAAAGTCAAAGTTCTGAGTTCTGATAAAGTATCTGACCTCACAGAGAAGATTCTGGAAATCACAGCTGGGTATCCAATTTTGAAGAAGCTCATCATTCATACAGGAAGTGATGAAGTGATGAACCAACAGTCAGAAATCCTGAAGAAGGATTTTATTCTGCTGCTGAATGCAGTTAAAAATCTCAACATGGATGTGTTCCTCAGTGGGCCCGTTCCTACAGCCAGAGGAGGRGCTGAGAGGTTCAGCAGACTGCTGGCTCTTAATGGGTTTTTCCATGTATTTCTGTCTTTGTTAAATAAATATTGCCATAACAAGATCAAGGTAGGAAAAACTGGGATAAGCAAATWTATATTCTAATTTATCTACTTACCAATCTGCCTACTTATCTACTTTATCCATGTAGGTTTTATTTTTCTTATAGGACTGAATATAGGCCAGAGCTATAAAGTGAATAAACAGAGAACGACGAGAGCTGAAGTATTGGCTTTATAATAGCTCCACTGTCCTTGACTCAAACAATGGTCCCTCTTCCCTACAGATTGAAGGGCTTCACCATGGTAACTGGTGATGGTGGAATACTGGATGGGGATTTCTCTACTTCTAAATAATGATGTGTTTGCTCTGTTGTGCTGAATTTGGGTAAATCAGCAGGGGAAAAAGGAGGAAAAAAATCCAGACATTAAACCACACGTTGAACTCATAAGACCCAACTTTATTTATTTTGCACCATGATGCCTCTACGTCCCCGTACAATACATTCAGTATATACATTTGGCCATGAGGGACTTTACAGAGATGAGTTATAGTAGTGCATACATACGTGGCACGAGAAAAGGTACGCAAAGAAAACTCATACATGCCACTTTACCACAGTAAAGCAAGAAACAGAATGCAACCGGGGCGAGTCAATGGAGGATGGAGTTTTACACCAGAGCTCACACACACACACACACACACACACACACACACACACACACACACACACACACACACACAC